TTCTTTATTTAAATTTTATAGAATAGAACGATCTCAACTATATGTATGTATGAACACAGTATCTCGAGGTCGTAGTCTCCCTGTACTGTAGATAGGTACGCGCCGCGTCAGCAGTGCGCGCGCGGTCGTTCCCCCCGGCGTCGACCTCGCCTGGCCACATCAACTATTTTTCGTTTATTTTAATAGTGCTTATTTATTTGTTATATTTCACTTACTATGAATACGTGTTTAAAAATAATTATCACTCAAAAGGAGGAAAGGACATAAAAATGCAAAATAAAAAAAATAAAAAACGAAAAAAATAATTTTAAAAAATCCGAAAAAAATCAGGTATACTCTATACATGTAACCCATCAATCTCACGAAGTTTCATAGAAACATTCAATTTCACCCTGTATAATATCTAGTAGGTACATCGAAATTAATGGCCTTTACACACTTTTCATTACTTGGTGTTTACGTTTTGGAAAGAAGTTCCATTTAGGACGTTATGGCGGATGAGGGTTAGGCTAAAATTTGTAAGATTTTTCCATTACAACCTAGCGAGGCAGCTGGGTGGGTGACCACAGACGGTAGTGGATGTGGACTCGGTTTAAAGTTTTTTTTTTGCATTTTACTTCCTTAATCAATTTGACCGAAACGATCGACGGGTGATCTTCTAGCGTACTTGACTCATATCTGGGGTGAGGCTATCGACAAGCGGGGCGAGTCGTTGGCTATCAGCCTAGACATTGCCAAGGCATTCGACAGGGTCTGGCACAAAAGCCTTCTCTCCAAGCTTCCGGCATACGGTCTGCCGGCCCAGTTCTGTTCTTGGGTAGTTGACTTCCTGCATGAGCGTAGAATTCGTGTCCTTACGGATGGTAGCAGTTCGCGGTTCATGTCAGTGAATGCCGGCGTTCCCCAGGGCTCCGTCCTATCCCCCACTCTCTTTCTGCTGCATATCAATGACCTAATTCCTCTTGGGAATATTCATTGCTATGCAGACGACAGTACAGTGCATGCGGGGTATCTCGGACAAGCAGTGGCTGGGCAGGCGGTAACCAAGGAGAAACGGGAGAATCTTGTCATTGAACTCAATCAGGCTTTGGACCACATTTCTGAATGGGGTACCAAGAACTTGGTTGAGTTCAATGCTAAGAAAACCCAGGTCTGCGCTTTCACGGCAAAAACGTCGCCATTCCTTTTATGTCCTTCTCTTCAGGGCACAACACTGGAGCTAGAGAGCAGTATCACCATGCTCGGTATGGAGATTCGCTGTGACTTAAATCCAAAAAATTACATCGAAAGTGTGATAAAAACAGCCTCACGCAAACTCGGAGTCCTGAACAAGGTGCGGCGTTTTTTCACGCCCGAGCAACTATGCTTGTTATATAAGACGCAGGTTCGGTCTTGCGTGGAATATTGCTCGCACCTCTGGGATGGCTCCGCCAAGTACTTGCTCGATGCTTTGGATAGGTTACAGCGGCGCGCAATACGCATCATAGGTGATGAGGAGGTGTCTAAACACCTCGAGCCTCTTCAATTACGCCGTGACGTGGCGTCACTAAGCGCGTTCTATCGTCTGTACCACGGCGAGTGTTCTGAGGAGTTATTCTCTCTTATTCCACCTTCCCCTTTCCTTCAGAGGACCACGCGCGCTGGCTTACGTTGTCACCGTCTAACTGTGGCTACAATTCCAACGCGTACAAAGAAATTTGGTGACTCATTTCTTTGTCGTACTATCCGTAAATGGAATGCTCTGCCCGCTCACGTGTTCCCTCCCTCTTACAACCTGGGATCCTTTAAAAGAGGCGTGAAGAAGCATTATGCAGGCCGGCAGGGTGAGGATGGCTGGTGTGGCAGGTAGAACTGCTGTATCAGCTGTCTTCGCGTCTGGACTTCACCTCCACTTAACATCAGGTGGGGTGGAGTCATTTGTCGGACGTATCTATAAAAAAAAAAAAAAAAATATGAAATAACAGGGCAGCGTAACTCTAAGGAAATATTAATATATATTTTTTGCGCATATTCCTTCCATAGCTCAATTATTTGTTTTACAATAAACAGACAATAGACAAACAACATAACTCTAAGGATACGTATTTCGTATTATTTTCCGCATTGTCATTCCAAAGTTAATTTGTCATTTTGTTAATAACCTCATGTACGAAATAAAAAGGAAGGGTAGAGAACATAAACAATAGAAAATATATGAAAATAACTTAAAAACCGTATTACCCCAGAATAGCGTTTACTTTTTTTACTACCAAGATATTTTTGATAACTTTGTTTAACCATTCAATAGTTTAGTCACAAATATATAGGTACAAATAAATAGCTTAACACATTACATAATATTAGAATTCTGTTGTTTAGTATTGTTTTCTCTGGATGCTTAAAACAATAAGATAATCTAACAGCGTATATGAAATGGATTTTATGTAGTTGGGATAATTTTGATCAGTCTTCGCACTATGATCTTTATGAAGCTGAAAGTACATACATATTATTGTGCTATGGAGACTTATGAGCATAAGCTTACATTTATTTATTATAGTAATATCAGCAAATTTATTTTCAATGCAAACTAATAATTAATGCATATTTTATATCACCATCAATTTTCATAATTAACATACAAAATTATTGAAAATTGTTTGAAATTTTAGAAAACACAAAGTGGGTAACCGTTTGCAAGTACATACCGCAAAGTATGTTCATTTTCTATTGTTTCTGAATTTATAATTATTTGACTGTAATTTTTTTCGACATGGACGAACGTCGTTTCCTGTAGATATCCACTTTTGCAAAGCATTGATAGAAGCACATCAGTCGTTGCTCAAAAATTTATGAATCATGCTTAACAAAAACACGGTGAATGAATATATCTCTTTTACTAGGTCCGTACATAAATTTTGTCGTCCTTTTTTTCGACATAATGCCTATTAGCACTGATACATGCTCTCATACGGTCGTACCATTTACTAAATACGTCGCCCCAGAAACCATCTGAAACATTACCACATATCTCTTCAAATGCGCCTATAAGCTCTTCGTCATTACAAAACTTGCGTCCTTTTAGTGCTTTTTTTTGCATAAGGAAAAAGTGCAAAGTCGCATGGCGCTAAATCTGGACTATAAGGAGTATGTCCCCAGTATTTTCACTACAAGTTCACGCAAATAGTCTATAGTTTTGCCGGCCCGATGTGTGGGAGCGTTGTCCTGATGCAGAAACCATAAGTCGAGTCTTGAGTTTAGTCGCTCGTTTTTCAACGCTTCTAAAACGCGAGGCAAACATTTTTCCGTGTGCCAACTTGCAGTAACAGTTTTCTGTTTATCAAGCACGATAGTCGACAATATTCCGCGTTTTGAAAAAAAGCAGCCACCATTCTTTTTTTACCAGATCGATACATTTTGACAGATGTTGACGCATCTTCATCTTGAAACACCCATACTTTGCTTTGGGATTTAGTTGGGACATCAAAATAGTAAAGCCAAGTTTCATCACATGTAATGATTGAATTGCCGTACTTAGATTTGCCGCCGTCAATTTTTTTTTAACATCTCATGATACCAATTCATACGCTGTTCCCTTAACTCGTCAGTCATTGAATGTGGTACCCAAAGTGAACAAAGTTTCCTAACATTTAGATGATCGTGAAGAATTCGATGAACAGTTGGTGCATTTAAATTCAGGATTGCCTCGATCTGTCGATATGTCACATGCCGGTCTTCTACCAGTACTTTTCGCACTGCCTTGATGTTTCTATCGGTAGTTACCTCTATTGGTCTACCCGGCCTCGAATCGTCCTCCAAGCTAAAATTGCCGCGGATAAACTGAATAAACCATCTTTCTATTTGAAGGGAGGACACGTTTGTCCTAATGCACCACTGCAATTTCTTCAGAACACTGTTGCTTAGTCAAGCCATGCTTGAAATTATATAACATTATTACACGAGTATCCCTATGAGTAAATTCAGTCATGTTAAATTTTCAAAAAATCGCAATATATCTACCAAACTACTTTACGTTACGAAACTTGTACTTTTATTGTTGTTATTAGTTTGCCTTAATAAATCTACCCTTAACTAAATAGCGATAGCGAAATAAATGTAATATCTTACATTTATTTCGCGTACAACAAAACTTATGTAGTGGCCTACGTACATGAATAAAAGCAATAATCTCAAAGAAATTGCGTGCTTGCGTCTAATATGCGTCGGGTAAAAAAAACCTGATTGTGTTTTTGCTCACGAAATTTTTCGATTCACACAAATGGGCTTTCGATAAAATATAAATCGCCTGAACAGCACACTAATTTGTTTCAATTATATTATGGTATTGTTGACGATCAAATAGATCTACCTATTGATCTATATTGGAAAGACGTTATCGTCATAATAAAAGCAATAGTATTCCACTTGAGCCACTTGGGTGGAGGAACCTTCCTTATTCCTTTATTTTTATTATTTTTCTGTGACTTTTTAAAACCAAGATGGATAAAATATGAGATTTTATCTCTTTAAAATTTAGTTTATGGCTACCTTATGTAAAAGTTGATCAAGAAACGAAAACAAAGTATGCTTCGCTTTTCGCACTTTTAAAAGAAATAATATGATTAATAGCCTGCGCAGATGAAGGACTTGTCTGCAGTATTTTTGTCCGCCGTAAGAGATCGCTTACAACTGTATCGAGTAATGCACACGGTATTAAAAGTCTCTCTCTCTAGGGTAGGTCCCTCATCTATCATCATCATCTATCTGTCTATCGCGGAACATTTTATAAAAAACGTAATAAGATTTGATTCTACTCAACTTCCACCATGTTGGAAATCATTAAAAGATTTTTTTTTGCGTACAATTTATGTCACTTAATTGTGGCAAAATGCGACTGAAAAATACTGCACTAATTTATTACCAGAACAATGCGGATGAACCGTCAGTGATAATAAAATTGAACCACTCTGGTTCGAAGGTGATCCAAACACCTCTATAAGTAGAGGACATTCTTATGTTAGAATTTAATGAAGTAGAATGTAATGAAATTGATAATGACAATGATGATGAAGATGTTTATAATAATAACGATGACGAAGATCACGATGATAATGATGACGGACATCATGATGATAATTATAACGATGATCATGATGATAGCGATAGTGATCATGACGATACTGATGATAATATGGGAAAACAATAAAATAAATACATATGTATGCTTTAATGTATAGTTTCGAATGTATAAATGTTCATTTATTTTATTGTAATATGTATAAAAAAATATTAAATTATACATAATTTTCAATTTTTTCGCGGTGGGTAGTTGTAAAAGAAAGTCGATTTTAAGTGTCTCTTAATTTTAATTATTTAATTAATTACAATTATTAAATCAAGATTTGAAATTCTTATGTCAAATTAATAAATAGTGCACAGTACCTGCCGGCGAGTGTTATCTTCATTATTTATTATCACCAACACTTGTTTTCGTCATCAACATAATGGACAGCATACAGGAAACTCTTTCTCAACTGCAGAATGTTTTTGTAAAGCGGATGGATGCCTATCAAAGTGAGCTGCAAGCTGCTACTCCATCTCCCAATGTCTCCAATCTGACAGCAGACTTCGCAACATTTAGGAGTTTTATTCTTTCCTCCGTTCAAAGTCTGCAGGAACAAATCAACTTACTGGCTCATCAAGTTGACAGCTTAGAAATGAATAGCCGGCGGAAAATCCTCCTCCTCCATGGTCTACCAGAGCTATCAGAGGAGGATGTTACAGCAGCTGTTGTACAGGCTATCAGAGCTAAGATGGGGCTGTCAGCCTTCTCTTCTGGCGACATCAGTCGTTGTCATCGGATGGGTCGCTCTTCTACAAATCATCGTCCACGGCCAATTGTAGTAAAGCTGAGAGAATTAGCTGTCAGAAACAAAATGTGGTTCAGCAAAACCACTTTGAAGGGCACTGGTCTAACACTGACAGAGTTCCTTACGAAGAACAGGCATGATGCGTTCATGGCTGCACGAGAGCGGTTTGGCATTAACAAGTGCTACACGCGTATGGGCTTCGTGTTTGTTATTAGAGGTGATGGCAAGCGACACCGCATCAGCAACCTTGCCGAGCTGCAAAAGATCCCAGTTCCAATATTGGTGAGAACAGAGTCACCCGTGCCGAACAAAACCCTAGCACCAGTAGTGACGAGTGTCGAGTCGCCCGAAATGAATAAAATTTCAGCACCAGTAGTGGCAAGAGTCGAGTCGCCTAAACCTGCAGCTTCAACATCTTCTAATAACACCAAGACGAGACGTGCAGCCAATGCAGCAAGCAAGAAGTAACATAAGGTTTTCAATAGCTAATAACTTCATTGTCACTGTTTGTTGTTTTTCAAGTCTGTTACAATTTGTGGTAATTTTACAAGTTCGTTACTTCTATGGCTATGATATCATACCATCTTGTTGCATCGGTAAATAGACATTTCCTATGCAAACTTATATAATACTTATTGCTTTCACAAACGAGGGTGTAATTTTAAAAGATAAACTTAAATCTAAATCTAGTAATTGACATTATGACAGTGACACTTAATTTTTTTTTCTTTTTGTTCTTTATCAACGTAAAGCATAAGTTTTTGCTTACATACAGCCTTCTTAGTTTTTTTTTTTTCCATTTTGATTTTATTATTTCTTTGGTTTTTATTAGCAGACAATGTTAAATATCAAATGCTGTTGTAATCTTCTAGCTTTGTTGCCTGTTTTGATTCTGTGTTGTAATGGATGTTGAAATCAGTGTTCTTTTTATAATTTTATTCCACTCAACCGGCAGGTGGAGCCTAGGTAGTTTAATTTTGTCTGATAGTTTATGAAATTTATTTAAATATTTATATTTTGGGTATATATATATATATATATATATAATTTGTTGGATTTATATTATATATTTATAATTAATAGTATATAAGTCTGAATTTTATGTCCGGTTCAGAAATAGATAGTAACGATGATTTTTTCCAATCTTTATCACCTGCTAGCGGCAGCACTGACAGTAGTTTTATAAGTATACCTTCCCTTTCTGAATACCTAGATAACCAGTTTTCTGATGTACCTAAAAATTTTAACGTGGTTCATATCAACGCGCAAAGTATTCCGGCTCACTACACCGATATGTTGGCGTCTCTTGACAATAAAAATCTTCATGCTGTTTTAGTCTCCGAGTCCTGGCTTAAACCTTCTTTGCCTTCCACTGCATATACCTTACCTGGTTTCCAGTTAATACGTAATGACCGTACTGGTTCGCGAGGTGGTGGAGTTGCTATTTACCTGCGTACTGGTATTCCCTTTAATGTCATTAGCTCCTCCCCACAGCCTCCACCAACTAATGCTGGTGAACATTTGTTCGTTGAGGTACTCCTTTCCCACACCAAAATCCTCCTCGGAGTCTATTACAGCCCTTCCTTAAATGTAAATTTTTTCAGTTCTTTTGAACAGCTTTTAGAAAATATAGTCCCTTCTTATGACCATTCCCTGATCATGGGTGACTTCAACACATGTCTCTTGAAAGGTGATTTTCGTGCCACCTCTCTTCAATCCGTTGTCAGTTCATGTAATTTACACATCCTTCCACTTAGCGCTACCCATCATTTCCCCAATACTACTCCCTCACTTCTCGACTTATTAATAGTGTCTTCTCCTCAACGTGCTACGAAACACGGTCAATGTGCGGCAGATGCATTCTCATACCATGACTTGATTTTCTTATCGTACAAGATTCGTCCTCCTAAGCCCAAGCCGAAAGTCATTCTTCAGCGGAATTTTGGTGGTATGGATCAAGAGGCGTTACTCAAAGACCTGCATGATGTCGACTGGTCGTTAGTGACTAGCGCGGCTACATTGGACGAACAAGTGCATACTTTCAACAATATTATAACCAAGCTTTATGATAAACATGCACCGCTTCGTCCTATTAAGCTTAAGCACCATCCAGCACCTTGGCTTACACCAGAGATAAAAGTATTGATGCACAAGAAGAATGTGGCCAAGAGTAAATATAAAATTCGTCCGACAGACTCTAATAAAAACAACTATGCAAAGGCTCGCAATCACTGTAACATGGTGTGTAGGGATGCTTTACGTCGCCATATTCATGCATCTGTCAGCAATAATGATCCTGCTAAAGTGTGGAACTTCCTTAGATCACTTGGAATTGGTAAACCTCGTCAAACGTTTTTTCCTAGTAACATCGATATCAATTCACTTAATGTTCATTTCTCTGTATCTTCTAGTTTCAGTAATTTGCACAAAGCTAGTACTATAAATGTTCTTTCATCTTTACCAGTTCCAGACTACTCTCCTTTTGTCTTTACTCAATTTTCCGAATGTGACGTTAAGAAGAGCATGCTGTCCATTTCTTCCAATGCGGTAGGTAATGATAGTATTAGTCGTAATATGCTGATACCTATCTTAGATATGATCCTTCCTATCCTTACCTTTCTTTTTAATAGCTCTATAACAAATGCTGTTTTTCCATCGGCTTGGAAAGAAGCCCAAATCGTTCCTTTGCCCAAACAATGTAATCCTCAATTTCTTGCTGATTTTCGGCCTATTTCTATCCTTCCTTTCTTATCTAAAGTCCTTGAACGTCTTGTTCTTAACCAATTCAATACATTCCTGTCTCGTCATAATCTTTTTAATCCTCTTCAATCCGGTTTCCGTCCTGGGCATAGTACTACGACTACCCTCCTGAAAATTACAGACGACATACGCCTTGGGATGGATCAGGGTCATCTCACAGTATTGACATTATTAGATTTCAGCAATGCCTTTAATACGGTCAATTTTGACATTCTTTTGGCTTTGCTGCGCTCTCTTAACGTATCTCCATCGGCAATTGAGTGGTTTCGCAGTTATCTGCAGGGACGCAGGCAGAGGGTTCGCGTCGATGAGGTTTTTTCCTCGTGGATCGACACTTCTGCTGGTGTTCCCCAAGGCGGCGTTTTATCTCCTCTTCTCTTCGCTATATTTATTAATTCTATTTCCAATAATACTTCTTCTTCCTACCACCTGTATGCAGATGATCTTCAAATTTATAGACAAGCCTCTCTTGGTCAATTATCCAAAGCAATACTGGCAACAAATAATGATCTGCGACACATTGTAGAGTGGAGCGAATCTTTCGGACTAGAAGTAAATCCCTCCAAAACACAGTGCATTATCATTGGTAGCTCAAGGTTGATTGCCAGAGTGAACTGGCAGTTACTTCCTACCATATCCCTTGCTGGCACCAATATTCCATTCAGTGTTTCTGTAAAAAACTTAGGATTAACTGTCGATAACTGTTTGAGTTGGGGTCCACAGTTACAAACTGTTAGCCAAAAACTGTTCGCTTCGGCAGCCTCGCTGAAGAGACTTCGCAATTTCCTTCCTACTGCCACCAAAATTTCCCTAGCACAGTCTCTGCTGCTTCCTATTCTTGATTACGCTGACGCCTGCTATCTTGATCTCACGGAAGACCAGCTTAATAAGCTTGAGCGACTTCAAATTTTCTGTATTCGTTTCATATTTTGCTTACGCAAATATGATCATGTGTCGCAATTTCGATCACAGCTCAAGTGGCTACCAATTCGACTTCGCCGGAATACTCATATCCTCACACTTCTCTACAATATATTGTTCAATCCTTTGTCCCCGCGCTATCTCAAGGAATGCTTCAATTACCTTCATACCTCAAACGCGTTATCTCTTAGGTCATCAGAGAATTTAACCCTAAAAATTCCTACTCATGACACAACCTTCTATGGTCGTTCTTTTGCCGTCCAAGCTGTTCTCCTGTGGAATTCTCTTCCAGTATCCATAAGACGAGCACAATCTATTCATACTTTCAAAAAACTTGTTTTCAACCATTATTTGTCGACGTAACTGCAATTGCTTTTTTTTTTTTTTTTTTTCTGACTGGATTAAACTTTTATATGTGTAGTCTATGTATGTATATGTCATATATTTATATTACATATATATATCTTATAGTAATATTATGTGTATGTATGGTATGTATATATATTTAATGTATATAGTTATATACATTTTTATATCCTTTGTTTCTTTTATAACACCACCGACTCCAATTTCATTCAATCCTCTCCATCCAAAGGTTGTCTGGAAGAAATCGCTTTTAGCGATAAGACCGCCCATTGAATCACTGTTTAAACAT